TACTTTAATAAAATTGCTAGAGGCAAATCAATGATAAAAAATATTATAAATGTATTGCTTAAATTATTATCTACTTCTATACCTACTTTCTTCCTTCTATATATATAAGTGTTGAGGTTTTATCAGCAGTGAGAAGTACACAATTATTAATTTTAATAAAATATATGTTTACTTTGTTTTAATACAGAATGTTCTAATATAATAATCTTCGTGAAGAAATATTAGTAAAAACTTGATCTCGTGACAAAATGAAAAGGATCGCTCTGTTAATATAAGACTGACTGCACACACACGTCAGTCTAATTTCGCACAATCATGACCCATATATATTTTGATTTGTGCCCTCTATTGTGAAGATACTACTGCTTATATTCGCACTTTAATTCATATTGAGATTATCTCATCCAACATTTCCCCTTAATTTTAATATTTTCTTTAATAAACAAAATTAACTTATAAATACAGTTTTACAATTAATAATGTAATCCTACTGCACTATCATATCTTTAAATTTTCTAAATTTTATTGTACCTAGCGGCTTTGTAAAAATATCGGCAATTTGATCGCTAGTATTACAATATACAATGTTGATATTATTTTCCTTAACTTTTTCGCTTATGAAGTAAAATCGCACATCTATATGTTTCGACCTTCGATTAAATATTCCAGTTTTAATAAGCTTGATAGCACTTTGATTATCGATACACATTTCAACATTTACTGTTTTACCAATTAATTCTTCCAATATGCTTTTTAAAAATAATAATTCTTTACAACAATCAGCGGCCGAAATGAATTCTGCTTCTGTGCTCGACAATGCTACAATAGGTTATTTACGTGATGCCCAACTTATAGGATCTCTGCAAAATTCTATTATAATATTAGGTGTACAAAAAAGAGCTTTTTTCTGAGCTTTCTTTTGTAAAATTCAATCTTTATTCAAAAACAAACAAAAAAATATTAATCAGCGAAATATTCCCCGTTTGCATCAATGACCTTTTGCCATCTTTTGGATAGCTTACGAATTCCTTGACGATAGAAGCTCACCGGCTTCGAAGCGATAAAGTCATCAATGCATTTTCGTATCTCTTCAAATCTCACGAAATGTGTATCAGCCAAATGATGCTGCAGCGACCGGAATAGGTAGTAATAGGAAGGCGCCATGTCTGGGCTATACGCCGCGTGCAGAAGTTCCCAGCCTACGCAAAGATATGGTCCTGTCGCTTTCGCAACATGTGATCGAGCATTGTCATGAAGCAAGATCACTTTACGACGTCCTTGGCCAGTAAATCCTTGGCCTCTTTTCTTCTAATCGCTCAAATTGGTCATTGTTGTTGGTAGCGTTCTGCCGTGATT